AAACTGATTGGAAAATGGGTGGCCACTTGTGTGACAAGCACTTCGGTCACACAAAACTTCCGGCATCAAAAGTTGTGCTAGAAATGCCGACTCATTGCGTAACGGCGGCGACGTCTTAGACGCCTGCTCACCACGAGGCAGGTAACGTGTATATTGGAAGGTGGGCGTAAAGCGAATTGCGGAAATTCTGAAAGACTATGTGAAATTCCAAGACGGGGTCTCCTATATTTGGCTCATGCTCGTCCAGAAGAACAGAGGTGATTTCCTTGGTTTGTTGTGTTTGTTCTCAGGGGTCTGATGTTTCTGACTGCACACATAAGAGAACGTCTCTGGAATAACTGGTGGGTTTGCCTGCTTGGACGCATTGCTTCCCCACTACTCACTGATGATACCACTCCGATTGGTAGTGACTCGGATGGTCCTGCCGTCATTCTTTCCTCGGACTTTCCATCCACCACGTCTCACAATATATATTCCTAAACATTCTGTGCATACTTTAGTGTAATTTAACAGACCTTGGTGAATTGGCGATGAAACTCCATGCTTCCAAACGTGAGTATGATTGTGTCGCACCATTTTTCTAACTCGTTCCATTTGGTTTTAGGCCCTAAAACCCTATCTTACGGCCGTAAGGCATACACTACATGCTGCACTCTGTGTGCAAAATTTTCCTTCGCAAGTAGTTGAACGACATAATAAACCGGAGATCGAAGTGAAAACCTCCAAGGAACTGCTCCTACAGCCGGTTGTCATCAGCCGAAATGAGAAAGAACGCGTGCTGATTGAGGGTTCTATCAACTCTGTTCGTGTGAGTATTTCCATCAAACAGTCGGATGAAATCGAACGGCTTTTATGTCGCAAGTTCACTCGTTTTATGATGATGCGCGCCGAAGATTTCGTCATCCTTCGACGCAAGCCTGTTCCGGTGAGTTTTGTCAATGAATATCTGAAGTTTGTATAACTGTGGATGAGGTATTCCCCGTTTTTTCCAAGTGGTGCCATTGTAAAATAGCTTCGATGACTATCTAATTTTACGGAACTGTTTATTCTTCAGTTGTTCACTGATAGCTTTAAGTTGCCTCACTGAATAGCACAGCTACATGCTGCGGAATTTTGGAATATCCTAAAATGCCAGTGCCTTTGATGTTTTCTCTAGGTACTTCAGTTGTATGAGCAGTACCATTAGTCAATCACTGGACATGCCACGTACAATCCACGGAGAGGCACTAGAAATGGTGGAGCGTTTCACTTATCTTGGAATTTGTATTAGTTCTAATTGTAGCGCGACAGATGAGACGAATCTGTAAGCCCTGGGTCGTGTTTGCTAATTTGAGACACCTA